TTCTGCCATGTGGTCTTTGTGCTCTGGGACATCTAGAAGAGACCAGATGAAGTCCCTCAGCCTCAGGGAACTGTCTGGACTCACGAGGCTTGGCCAAGTCGTGATCGGTTGTGAGATGTCACCGGCAATTAGCAATTGTGAATGAGTTTTTAAGAAATAAATCAGTGCTGGCTGAGTCCAATTTCTTTCTGTGATAATGTCATTCTTAGTCCCTTGCGTTCAAATCTGTTCCACCAAGTGGGAAGGACGAGGGGCGGGGGAACTGCCGCCTGCACGCAGCTGCTCTCGCTYGGCGCTGGTGGCTGCATGGCCGTGACTTTCTGTATCTTGACAAAAGTGTTTGGGATTTCATCCAAATTTGGGTATGTCCACGAGGAGGTACCACCCCAATCAGTGTCATTTATCACATGGTGTTAGACACAGATAGCTGTGGGAACYGAACCTCTACTAGTCGACAGATGTCCCCTCCCTCCCCCACCTCTCACCCGCTTCTTTCCCTTATTCTCTTCCTCCTCCCTCTCATGTCTAAGGCACATGCAGTTTTCACTGGACCTCAGTAAAGTGAGAAAATTGAAGGACAGTGTTAACAAAACAAGACAGAACAGCCTGTGTGTGTGAGAAACGTGGCGTCTTTCCTCGAGAGGAGCTGACCTTCCTTCTGCAGTCGACTCCTTCTTCCCATCACATCTCCCTCTTGTACGGCAGGCGACGTGCTTAATGCTCTTACTTAGCAAAATGAAGACTGGCCCCCTGGGTTTGCCCCCACTCAGCTGGTCTGAGAGCCCCAGGCCTCTAGGAAGCTCAGCCTTCCACCCTGACCTGCTGTGGCCCTTCCTCCTCACCTCCCAGCTTTGTTCGTTTGTTTGCTAGAAGGCGGAGCACAGGTGAGTCAGGAAAAGGATGTGCGTGACCAAGGTGCACATGCGTGCATCCAGGCCGAGGCTGGGAGCAGGAGGCAGGCCTACACAGATGGCAGCACCCGTGGCTGCCGATACCAGAGTGACAAGGGAGAAAACAGAGAAGGAAGTAGTCAGAAAATAGATCTGGGCTCAGGTCCTGGCTCGCCCCTTGCTGACTGTGTACCTTGGGCCAGCCACAGCCTCCGAGCCCAGGTGCCTGGTCTGAGAGTCGGGTGCTCATACTTTGCTCGTACTTCCCTCGCAGGCCTCACGAGGTGGAAGGGAGAAAATGCGTGTAAAGGCACAAAGTGACCACACCCTGCCACCTGGGCCTGTACCTTGTGACCTTCCTCCTCCAACACTAACACGGTGGTTTGCACACAGTAGGAACTTGGGAAATGTTGGTTTGCTGGGCTGAATGTTTCGAAGTGTGAGTGCTAGTCTATGAGGAAGGATATGGAAGGTTCCCATCAGAGACGGAGCTGCTCCCTCTGGGAGGGAGAGGCCCCTCTTACTCTTGGTCCCAGCTGAGAGCACCAAGGCCGGGAGCAGTGGGCAGTTGTCTGACCTTCTTTCTGCAGAACCGAGATGTGAATCAGACCTGCCCTGGAGGCTGCTCTCGGAACCACCATGACAAGCTGGTGGCCTGCGGTCTCTCAGATGCATTGTAGGCCTTAGATCGCRGAAAGCTGTGATTAAGGCTGTGAGTGACTGGGCTCCCCCACCCATGGAGCCGGCAGATACATTTGGCCTATTTCCCAGAGCCCACTCATTTCCCCACCCSTCCCACGCACCCGGGCCCTCCTATGTGTTCTCCATAAAGGCTTCACAAGCAAAATAAAAAATGGTGACTGAGGTCAGTGCCACACAAGAACAGGCTTGGCGACGCCGGGGAGCCCTGCCTGCRCCTCTAGGCAAGGCCGAGAGAGGAACCTGGGAGAGCAAGGCTGTCCCTGGCTTGGTGTGTCACTTGGGGCCAGGTGGCAAGGGGCCGAGCTTCAGCACCTAGCACACTCGAGTCCCATGGCGTGGACACACTTACATTATTAAAAGGCTCTTTCCAGCYTGGCATGACTTCTCTCAGGCACGTGCTCGTTCACAGGGGAGATTGATAAGGTCATTAAAACGCCTAGTCCTGCTATTTTGGGTAGCATCCTTWCAGCAGGGTTCTCCAACCATGGCTGAATGACTGCAGCTGGACTATAATAATACAGTGTCATAAAAAATCCTCGTGCCTTTCTGTACTTGAAAACACAGGATCTCCAACCACACATTTTAACCCTCTAAGTCCCATCCCTTGTACACAATAGAAGTATATGTAGTATAGGAAAGGCTATTTACAATAATAAATCACAGTCCTTAATAAAGTTGAGCGAGACTTGGCCAGTAATAAGGTGGTGATCACAGAGAACAGGCCAAGAGCAGCGCAGAGAGCTTGAACGTCTGTAATCTCCTGCACACGAGGTGGACCTGCATCAGCTTTCTGAACATGAGAAGACGGGAATCAGTTTCCTGTTTYACAGAGCAGACCAAGGCCTAGGTAAATTACTTGCCGAAGGTCAGAGAGCCAGGAAGTGGGAAGAATTGGACTTCCTGGGCTGGGGATCCGGCTCGGTGGGTAGAGGGCTTGCCTAACATGCACAAGGCCCTGGGTTCGATCCCCAGCACCACAGGAAAAAACAAAAAAAAAAGAATTGGACTTCCCTTCTGGAACTGGCTTTCGGACCTCCATGTTCTGACTYGTGGGCCAAAGCAGTCCTCTCCTCTGGGCCCCGCCCCATACCTGTCCTGGGGCTTTTCCCTCTTTGGTTCCTAAAGAGTGRGCTCAGGTAGGCCCCTGAGGTCCCGTGGGCTTCCGCAGGACTCTGTAGGTAGAACAGGATGTGAGCAGCTGCCCAGACCCTGCCCACCTGGGTTGGCGCGCACAGTGGCTCTCAAGTCCCTTCCGGCCTCCTGCTTCTGGCACTTTAGCTCCAAGGATGAATTGAACTGAATTGAAATGTTTAGGTGGAAGATGCCTCAGCAGCTGCTTCCACATTTGAAATCATTCCCACTTGAACTTCCCAGAGAGCCCTGGGACACTTTCATTATCAAGGTAGCACCGGCTCTGTCACCCCTTGAGGAGGGTGGAGGAGGGGGCAGTACAATGGCATCCTAAAACTGCCAGGACAGGGTGGGACTGGAGAAGGGCCTTAGCGTGATGAGCAAAGGCAAACCTGACCAGATAGTCCAACGGGATGGGGCTGGTGATCTGCCAGCAATGCAGAGACAAACAAAAACTGCTAATATCAGAGTGGCTCAAATGCCCAGAATTATGAGATAAGAGGAGCCATCTGTCCCCTGGGAAATCAGAAAATACCAGTGTAGTGGGGCGGCAGAGCTGGTGCCAGGCTGCCAGCCTCGCCCAGGAAAGCCAAGGGAGGTGCTRTGGGCTTCGGAAGCATCAGAGAGCCCAGCCCAGACGGGAAAGCATGCCCAGGGAACTGTGCTTGGCACCCAAGGGTCACAGTCACCTTAGAAGGCTGGACACTGAAAGGGAAGATCAGAAACTCACATCACTGTGGGACACCCGAGCTACACTAGTGGCCAGGCGCGAGCGTGCTGTGAATGCCACGGCGTGTGAAGCCAGGAGGCCTAAAGAATAAAGCTGCAGAGTGCTCGTGCCAGGGTAGCACCTGGATGCCATCCTGCCTCTGCTGCTGCCCAGCTGGCTGGCCTCGGCGGCATGTGAGGCCTCCTGCCTCCATTCACCCAGGCCCTGACTTCCGGGTCATCATCGTGATGAGCTGCATAAATGCATGTGGAGCACTTGGCACGGTGGCTGGAACACAGCACGTCACCTGTGACTATCTACCTGTTAGCCAGGCATAATAGCACCCACCTACAATCCCAGCTACTCAGGAGGCTGAGGCAGGAGGTCCCTTGAGTCCAGGAGTCTAGGGCCAACCTGAGCAAGATGAGGCCCTGACTTAAAAAAATGTTTTTTAATAAAATATTTACACCTACCAGTGAGTTCCTGTGGCAGGCATCTCTGAGTTGTGTAGCGGTGCAGTAAAAGTAAATTTATTTGGGAAAGTGAGACATGCTGTAATGTTGTTTGGCTGCATTTGTTCAATATAGATTATTAAAATAGTTCCACTGTCTCAGTGATCTGTGCTCGTGTGTCGGTACCGCTTCTGGGATTACGAAGCCCTTTGAATTGATACATTGATAAGGATAAATCAAGACATCCAGACATCCAGCAGTGCGCCCGGTCATTTCGGACTCAGGCCCATCTCTTTAGGAAAGGCCCCTTCTGTTATTGATATTAGATTTGGTGGGGGCCCTGCATGGGTTTAGGTTTTATAACTTCCTGTCATTCCCAGTCTCTCCYTTGGTCTCCCTGGGAAGCAGGTGGAGAGAATGACACGTACCGCCATGTGCCTGGCGTTGCTTTCTGTGCCTTGTCTCACTGAGTTCTCGTGGTGGCCCCTTTCTCATTGTGAGTGAGATGTGACTGTCCCTGGGTTGCTGATGGGGAATCTGAAGCCCAGGCTACTCTGCTGGTCAGTGCAAACCATCACCAGCACCCAGTCTGCCCAATTCTRGGCCAGCCAGAGAGGACTCAGTGACCTGAGATGGACAGCCAGGGACGGCAATGGACCTGGTGTGCCAGGGAAGGTACTGCGTGGCACTGTCCAGGTCCTCACAGATCAGGCCCTGCAGGGAGGACCCCTCACTTGGCAGTGATCCTAGATTGACAGTTGTCACCTGAACATTTAACTTCCTGCCCACGTCTGCTGGAAAGAAAAGCCGGTGYGTCGTGGGCACAAGGAGAAGCCACGTTTGTTGATTGCTAGCTTGAGGCTCCATCCTGGGCCTGGCCCGCAGTCAGCATCTATCTTGACAATGACAGTGTGTTCTTACAGCATCTCACGTTGACTCACCCTCCRTCTGCAGACTTGCTGGCCATTTGGGAAAGGATGTGGGGGAGTTAAGATGGGGAGGTGTCAAATTGTTACTGAGACGTTTCTAATTTGTGATGTGTGGTTCTAAAGCCAAGTCTCCTCTCCTGGTTCTCCTGTTTTCTACAGCACCCCTTGGGGAAAGACAAGTTGCTTCCTGAGTCTCCTGGGTGTCCTCGTTGCCAGTGCCAGCACCTTCTGAGAGCCCCACTCTCTCCTCCCGGGAAGGATCATGGGAGAAACAGAAGGGAAGAAGGATGAGGCRGACTATAAGCGCCTGCAGACCTTCCCTCTGGTCAGGGTAAGCCCTGCGGGAGGGAGACACAGCCCAGGGCCCTTGCAGCCTGGAGAGGGGTGGGTGGAGCGCGTCCCCTGCAGGATGGCAGTGCCAACAGGAGGAGGCTCTGCTGGCTCAACCTAAACATCCAGGGGGCAGCAGTGATTCATCCTTTCATTCATTCATTCATTTGCCAAGTATATATTTAGGCCTCTTGCTATATGCCGGACATGGTTCTGGGCACTGTGGAGAGGGTGGTATGTGAGACAGATGTCCCTGGCCCACGTGAAAGGAATGTTTAAAGGCCACGGTTGCAGAGAGTAAGTGCTACAAAGGAACACAGAGCCGGTGTGCGGGGCGAGCAGGCAGAGGCCAGCATTTTTGGAGAAGCTCCTCGATCGGAGACCAGAATGGAGTTAGAGAGTAGGCCTCGCAGAGTTGCGGGGGAGGACATTCCCAGCAGAGAAACAGCAGGCCCAGGAGGCCCAGGAGGCCCAGGAGGCCCAGGAGGCCCAGGTGGGATGGGCACAGCATCCTGGAGCAGCAGAGAAAAAGGCCCCATGGCTGGCCCGGTGGGCAGGACATCAGGACATGGGGGTCAGTGTGACGGAGGAGCAGACTGGACAGGCCTGGCGGGGCTGCAGGAAGGACTGCGGCTAGGCATTCGGGTGCGTCCTGAGGTCAGGGAAGCAGGAGAGGGCCTAAGCTGAGGTGTGAAGGGATCGCTTTTTAAGATTACTCGAGCTGTCACAAGAACGTGGGCTTGGGACGCCAGGTGGCAGCGGGAAAGCAGGGAGGCCCAGACGGAGCAGCGGCTGGGCAGGGCCTGGAGGAGGCCTGGAGGCAGCAGGGCTCATGGGGGAGGGGCCCGAGTGAGGGGAGGAGGGTTGAGGACTGTTCCCAGAGTGACCAAGGAAGGGAAGATGTAGGAAGAGTAGGTTTGTGGGGAAAAGTGACTTTTCAGACATCTAAATGAGGTTGTCAAAGGGACAGTTGACATGGGAATCCAGAGCTCAAGGAAGAGGTTAGYGCTGGGGAAGAAGGTGCGGATAGCCTCTCCCTGTATAGAGGACACAGACGAAGTCCCCCAGAGGAGAGAGTGGGCACGGCCAGCCTTCCTGCAGCTGGGAGGAGGAGGCCAGCAAGCTAATTAAGAGAGAGCAGCCYGAGAGGCGCGGGAGGCCAGGAGCCCTCGGAGTGGCGAGGCTGTGCCTTCTGGTCTGAGAGGTCTAATCGGAAGCCACACCACCGCTGTCCCCAAGCCCGGCCTGCCCTTCTCCCCTTGTCCTGGCTGGGCCTTGGCACCTTGCAGGGCACCTAGGCTCCAGAGCACCTGGACTCCACTCTGTGCCACACCCCTTGGCCTCAACGGCAGGCCTGTCAGGAGTTGGTCCCCTGCCGGAGGCTGTGCCAGGGAAGTCACCTGGTGTCCGTGCCTTAAGCATGAAATGGAGAGGCCAGCCAGGGAGGCCAGGCCGTGGGCTAAGAAGCCTCTCTTTGTTTGTCCCCTGCCCTCTCTAGCACTCGGACATGCCAGAGGAGATGCGAGTGGAAACCATGGAGCTGTGTGTCACAGCCTGTGAGAAATTCTCCAACAACAACGAGGTACTGCCACCAGCACAGGCGGCCCCTCGTGTCTCTGCTGACCCTGCGTGTGAACAGAGTGGCCCCCGACCCCTGTAGCCAGCGCCAAAGGGTCCTGCTAAGACTAGGCCCAAGGCTTCCTGGGATTCAGTCAGTCTGGAGGCCAGGGAGAGAAGAGGCTGCTGCTGCCCGGGACCGAGGGTCACGCCCAGCCTAGAGGGAGAGAAGCCAGGGGGTCTCTGCAGCCCTGTCCCAGACCCTCAGGTGGGCTGCTGGCCCCGGCAGTCCCCAGGGCTCCATCTCAGTGGCGAGCGGAGGCCCGCCCAGGCGTTCATCCACGCATCCATTCATCCATCCAGAGGAGCGAGGRCCCTCTCCATTGCCAGGGACTGTCACTGTGGCCGGGATGTGGCCAGTGGGCTTGTTTCCAGGGGTGGTGGGAAGGAGCCCGTGTCGCACAGTGGTGGGAGGCAGACCCTGGGCACCTGGCTCTGGCCGAGCAGGCCAAGTCCCTGTCCCATCTCCGCCCCTCCAGCTYCCTACTCTCAGGCCTGCCTTTCTCATCTCTGAGCCCAGCGACCTCGTCTGTTAGTTCAGGACCGTGGCCACAGCTCCTTATTGGGCAGCCTTGGTTTACTTACTGAGCTATGGGGACAGAGGGCTCRGCGTGCGCCTGTCACGGTGGTGGGTGATCCTGGTACACAGCGATGCCAGAGCATGGGCCGCACCCTGCAAGACGGGTGCTCTGCCCCTCACCAGACCTGCTCTTCCTGCTGGGGAAGCTTCCGGAGAGAGCCAGCACTAAAGGCAGTGGGCTGCCACCCTGACTAGGACAAGCAGTCTGGCCTCTCCCTGAGCCCCGTTAGGGAAAAGCCTTTCACCCAGGCCCCATGGGACAATGACAGTCCCTTACAGTCTGCAAACTGCTCTCATGTCTGCCATTTCATGTGGTCCCAAGATCAGCTTTGTGCCCCATCCTGTCAGCTCACAGCCGAGGACTTGGTGGCCTGGCCCGGAGCCAGCACTGAGCACAGAGGCCGACTCAGCCCAGGGGCTGCCCTCAGCCCGAGCCCTCCCGCCTGCCCTCGCTGGTTCCCTCCTGGCTGGTGAGGGAGTGTCTGGTTTTGCTGTGTGATGGCCCTGGCAGGAGGTGGCCTGTGGGGAGGCCCTTCCTGAAGGTTCTAGGAGCAGGAGAGCAACAGAAATGGTGCCCCAGGACCGTAGTGCCAGCTGATGCCTGCCCCTCGCTGCCCCCTCACGAGCTCCCTCTCCCTTCCAGAGCGCCGCCAAGATGATCAAAGAGACCATGGACAAGAAGTTCGGCTCCTCCTGGCACGTGGTGATCGGCGAGGGCTTCGGGTTTGAGATCACTCACGAGGTGAAGAACCTCCTCTACCTRTACTTCGGGGGCACGCTGGCCGTGTGTGTCTGGAAGTGCTCCTGACACTCTGTCCCCTGCAGGGCTTTGTCCTGCCCCTGCTCTGGGATGGGGAGCAGCTCCAGGCAGGTCCTGGCTTTTCCAAGGAGTTTGGGGTCTTTTATTTTTGTCCTTGTGTACCAGTGTCTTGAGCCACGCCCAGTGTGTGAATTTCCCGGCTCTCAGCCCTCCCCCTGGGTCCCAAGCTACGGGTGGGGCTGAGGCAGCCCTCTCCCTGTAGGGAGTGGGGGAGTGACGGTGGCAGGGTAGGGAGTGGGTTTCTCCCGAGGACACGCCATCCTACCTTTCTCCAGGGTGGCTGTYCCCTGGCATCCCTGGAGCCCACTGCCTGCCATCCCTGTGCTGCTGGGAAATGCCCACTGTCCTTGTCATTAGTGGCCATATGAAAGTGGCCCCAAGAAGGAGCCTGTCCTCTCAAGGGACACTGGCAGCTTCTTGTCCTCTGGGGAAGTGGTGACCACCCCCCCTGAAGAAGCCCCTTCCCAGCTGGACCCCAGGTGCACAAGCCACCACATCCCACTGGACCTGCTCTCCCGGCCCGGCCTTGGCTGAGGACCAAGCAGTCCTCCCATCCTCCCCTCCCCGCCCCAGGCTGCATGACCCTTGTCTGCTGCCTCCACCAACCGCGCAGTCGCAGTCGAGAGCGGGGCCTCGAGGTGTCACTGAGCCTCGGGTGAGACGCCTGGGCCAGGAGTGCTCTCACCGCAAGGCCGCTTCAGCAGGGAACCTGGCCTGCAGTGGCTTTCATCAGGGACCGCATGCTGATTTGTACTTCGTATCTCTGCTGGGTTTTCTATATTCTTTCTGAGTGTGGGGAGAAGGGTTTAGTAGAAGGGACGAATCATATTTTACACAGCGGTCTTATTTATATGAATGTTTTGGTTTTTGCAATTAAAATGACCAAAAACTGACCCTGGTCTGCAGCCTCTTAAGGTTAGATGGGATCCGTGTCTTCAGGCTTGGCAGGTCCCGGGGGCCTAGGGAAGGTTCTGGCTAAATGCAAAGCCCTGTGCCACGCTCGGCCGCTCACCCTGGCCCTGCCCTTCTCACCCATACTTCGTGTTCAGGGGTGGTCAGGGGCGAAGGCTGTTGGGTGGAGCCAGACCAAGCTCTGTAAGGACGTTTCCAGGCCACATAATGGCGCTCAGCTCAAAAGCCGTGGGTGCCAGGCCCCGGGAGTTGGGGCTGCAAAGATGGAGACCCTCTGGCAGGGCGAGGCCTGAAGCCTACCTGACTCCGCCAGGGTGAGGGCTGCAGTGCGGTGGGGGGACAGCGGAGTAAACCCACGGACAAGGAGCGGTTGGGAACGGGAGCCACGTTTCAGAGCCGGGAAGTCCCTTCAGTCCAGGACCAGAGAACACCAGGCATGGCAGCCTGTCTTCCCCTTGCCCACAGGTGCCCCCGAGATGGTGCAGCCAAATGCAGGCCCGGAGCCTGGGGCCTTGGCCRGGTCCTGCCCTTCTCAGGCCATGTGTCCAGTTGTAGCAAGATCTGTCACCAGATCTGGCAGCTGGCATCGCAAGGATGACCAGTGGGGTGAGGAGGGACCTTGCGGCTGTGCTGGGTCCTGAGCTGAGTGCAGAGGGACGGCCCGGAGCAGGAAGGAGGAGCAGGAGTCGCTGCCTCAAGGCCAACCCTCCGGCCAGGGGCTTGCCATCCTGGGGGCTCRAGGACCTAACCTCCGCAGGCCCTGGCCCTCCAGACTTGGTGGTGGGCAGCTTCTCGACCCAGGCAGCTCACTGGCAGGCTGGATCCCTGGGCCTCACCAGGTGCTGCTGGAGAGATGGGCACGTGTGCAGATGGCAGTAGAGGAGTGAGGCGGGGGTGGCGCCGGGGGTGGGAGGGGGCCGCGGCCTGGAATAGCCGCGGATCCACCKCCTGCTTTGCATCTGTTCTGCTGCATGTGGGAGCCCGCAAGTGAGGCTGGCTCAGCCTGGCAGGGTGGCGGGTGGCGCGGTGGCCCCAGGAGTATAGACCCAACCTCCCCAGGTCTGGCCGGGCTCAGCCTTGCTCCTAGGGCTTCCCGCCTCCCCGTGGCCTGTGGAGTGGAACGGGAAGCGCCTGCTCCCAAGCCCTAACCCGCAGTGGGCTGTCGCTGCTGGGCACTCCTGCCAGCCCCCAGGACTGGGCCGAGCTCACGAGATGGGGCTTGTGCAGTGCCCCTCCCTCRCGACAGAGCAGTGGTGCCACTGGTGGGAAGCCCCCCCCCCATCACATCCCTCTGCGGCAGACCCTCCTGCTCCCAGGGCAGCATGGCCACTGTTACATAAGTGACCAGGGCCCATGGCAGCTGTGTTCCCATGGAGGCCTATGRTAGCCAGTTGCCCTGGCCTCCCCCACAGGCTGCTGGAAGAGGGAGGGACATGACCACAAGGAAGCAGCCATCTTGCTGGCCGATGGCCCACAGTCTAGTGAGGGAAGGGACCTAGGGACGGAAGGGCAGCGCACAGCCTCTCAGGAAAGTGAGGCAGGAGGATGGCGTGTTCAAAGCCGGCCTCAGCAACCTAGTGAGACCCTTCTCAGAATAAACAGAAAGGGCTGGGGTGGGGAGGTGACTCCGAGGCAGAGCGCCCCTGGGGGGCGGGAGCCCGCTGAAGTAACTTGCTAGTAGAGAGCAGGTGGGGTTCAGGGAGTCCTGGGCTCCGGGAAGGGAGGAGGCCGATCTTTAGAGGCTGGGGAGGCTTCCCCAGGGAGGTGGTGTGGAAAGAGGCCTCGGCATTTCCTGGGGCAGGTGAGCCGGGGGGGTCCCCACCACTGGAGGAGAGGGGCTCCCCTGGGGCTGGAGGAGGGGGGCGATCTGGCACAGGGTCCAGCTGGGAGGCACCTCCACAGCTGTCCACCTCGCAGCAGCCGCTGCCTCTCTCAGGGCACAGGGGCGTCCTGGGTCTGCCTGACACCAGGTCCCCACGCCTGGTGCGCCCCGTCCACGTGAGGGCCCTGACACCTCCCTTGAGTAGCCACGTGCGCCAGGACACTGAGGCCAGGACAGAGGCCGCYGGCGTGAGGAGACGAAGGGCCGGGACTTGGGGACCAAGAGGTGGCCTGCTGCCCGCCCRGGGGTGGGGGCCACCTTTGAAGCTCGTGGGGCTGGTGGGGAATGTCGCCGTGGAAGTGCACAGAGCAACCCAGCACCTCATTCAACCCCCCTGCAGCCTCTCTAGGGGACTGGCCCAGCAGGCAGGGGTGTCTGGGGGTTGTGGGTCCCAGCCTGGCCACTGTCACCACCCTGCTCCCAGGGTCCTCCGCTGAGCAGACTCCTTCCTAGCTCTGCGCCCTGGGTCTGGGAGGGGAGGGTGGCTTGGCCACAGCAGCACCCAGTCCCATTTTCCTTTGTTCTACTCGGTGTATTTAAGGCAGCCTCCTCCCACCGCCAGCTGCCGCTTCAATCCCTGGAAAGGCAGCGGGGGCGGYGGGGGCGGGGGCAGGAGATGGGGAGTATTAATAACGTCCCTAGACGGCGCTGCCCCCAGTGCGCCAGGCGGGCACCACCGGGTTTACTTCTGTCCCTTTGGTGAGGATGCCACTCGTGTCCCCTCTTCAGGTGAGTGGAAGGGATTTGGTGGCAGAGCCGGGTTCACTGGGGGCCGGCACCTGAGCCCCCTTCAAAGCCTCTCAGTCGGCTGCCCGCTGGCTAGGTCAGGCCACCTTGCTCCTCTGCGCCCAGAGTCCCACCTGCAGTAGGACCCACAGCTCCGCCTGCCTCCCCCCAGGGTTGACTGTGGGGCCCCGGGGACGGGCGGTGGCCATGAATGTGCCAGTGCCTTGAAGTTGCCAGGGCTGGTGGAAGACTGGGGTCAGGGCCAGGGTGCAAACCACCCCCTGCTCCTGGGATGAGGYGTGGGCTCTGGAAGGCTGGGCTGAGGGACAGGTAGGGCACTGCTTCCCGGCCCCTGGGCCCCCCCGCCAGAGCCACAGCAGGGGAGCCGGTGGCCACACGGGCACACCCAGTGACCAGCACCCACACGACTGGGACCAGATGATGATGTTCATCCTGAGCCAGCAGAGTCCCAACAGCAAGCGCACCTGGGGACCGTGCTGTGACCAAGCAGCGGCCCCACTGTGTGTGCTTCCAGCCTCGACGTGGCCCAGAAGTGAGCCAGGGAGGTTCCGTGAGGGTCCCCCACCTCACAGTGAGGAAATGGCTTCCCAGAGATCTTGGGCCATGCAGAGCGGGGCTGGCCCGGGCCGCGGTGCACCGGCAGCACAGGGCAGCCGGAGTGACACCAGCCCCTCCAGGACACCAGCCCCATGGCACCCCAGACATGCATCCAGTCACTTGTGTCACTACTGGGCTGTGTCCGGTGTCCACCCCTGCTGCCCCTCAGTAACTCAGTGGCTGGGACTGTGTCCTGTCTACCTGTGCTTCCCCACGGCCTGGCACAGGGCCTGCCTGCAGCCAAAATGCATGTGGCTGGTCTCGGTGACGCACGTAACACCAGCAGCTCAGGAGGCTGAGGCAGGAGCATCGTGAGTTCCAAGCCAGCCTCAGCAACTGTGAGGCCCTAAGCAACTGAGTGAGACCCTGTCTCTAAATAAAATGCAAAGTAGGGCTGGGGGTGTGCCCCTGAGTTTAATCTCCGGTACCAAAAAAAAAAAAGAAAAAGAAAAAGAAAAAAAAATTAAAAGAAATGTATTTTGACGAGTGGGGGAGGAAGGAAAGGATGAATGGACCAGTGGATGGGTGGGTGGTGGAATGGATGGTGGGTGGGTGACGGGTGGGCGGTGGGGTGGGTGGTGGGTGGGTGGCTGGGTAGAAAAGGTGGAAGGCACATCTGTAACCAGGAAAGTGCCTGATCCCTCTCCTTTGACTCCGATGCCCTCTGCCGAGCTCCCAGGCCTGCCAAACAGGCCCCGGGTGTCGGGTCTGACAGTACCGACACGGCTGGGCTTAGACCTGGTTCTTAGGATGAAACCCAGAAGCAGCGTGAGTGGATTCCCGCGGGGGAGCCCCTTTGCTCATGGGGAGCGCGCGGGGAGCACTTGGTGTCACCACTTGCCAGCCATGTGGCCTTTTGTGAGTCCCTCTGTCTCCTGAGCCCGTCCTCCGTGTGTATGGAATGGGGACAGGTCCTTGCCCCTCACCCCAGAGGGCCACTGGGAAGGCTGAGGCATGGAGRAGGGAAGAACAGTGCAGCCTGGGTAGCTTCCATGGCCAGGTGTCGCCCAGGGGCCTAGTCAGCAGCAAGCCAGAGGTGACGTGGCCCTAGGCCTCGGCTGCCCGCGACAGCAGCTTGCAGCCTCACTTGCAGGCGGGGGCCGGCCTGCTGTCCTGGTCCTCCCAGCGGTCACTCAGCAGGTATCCCAGGAGCTCGGGGGAGTGCTGAGCCCAAAGGGACCATCCTGGCCTGGGGGTGGGGACTTTAAAGAGACCTCCTGGAGGAAGGCTGGCAGGGCCGGGGGTGCCGTCCCAACAGGAACCTCTTCAAGCCCTTTCTAGAGCCTCCCCTGACCACGTGGGCCCAGAACCTCCCTGCTTTTGACTGCTCTGGAGGTCTGGGGCCTGTAGGAGCAGAGGGGCCTGGCAAGATCCTCTGTGGCACTTAGCACAGGGTTGCGTACACTTCTGGCGCTCAATAAATGGTTATTAAGTGAACGTCCTTGTCATCCATTCATCAGAACTTCCTGCCAATTTTTTTTTTTTTTTTTTTTTTTTGCCAGATTCTGCTGGGACCAGGGACACAGGACCCAGGGTTACATGACAGTTACCCTGGGTACTGCAGTCAGGCCTCTGGGGGAGCCAACAGGATCACGAGTGTTCCTGGGGGCAGGCACCAAAGAGGCACCTTTGAACTGCATCTATTTTATTTATTTTGGTGCTGGGCATTGAACTCAGAGATGCTCTGCCGCTGAGATCC